AATAGAGGTGATGTTGTCTTGGAAAGAGCAAAGAATGGATTTTATAGTTGTTCAAGGAAGTGTTAAAGATATAAGAATTTGACAAAGAAATATGTCAAGATTAAAGACAAAGAATGAAATTGATAGAAAAAGTGGTTCCAAAGATTCCTATTTATAATATAATGAAGGTTATAGAAGTCTATGGTACTTTCTATGGAAGTTTTTAGAAGTCTAAAAAGACTTCTAGAAGCTTATGGAACTTTCTAAAAGATTGTAGAAGATTCTATAAGTATCTAAAAGGTTCTAAAAATTTGTAAAAGATTTTAGAAGGTTCTAAAATGTGATAATTTGGAATATGTCTATGCCAAAAATTGTAATTAAGAATGGTGCTTTTATACCTACTAGTAAGCATTAATGATATCATTAGATTAGTAATAATAATATCATAGTAAATTTGATAATGATAGAATACTGTAATGTTGAGTAATTGATAAAATCCAAAAATTAGACACCACACTCAAAAAATTGTTTGAATACTATTCTAAATTAGATTGGTCATAGCTCCACAATTATATAATGGATTCTTTTCAATCTAGGCTCATTTGGTAGCTATAAAAGAGTATTTTATTTGTTATACAAATCATATATTATTATTCACTACAATTATTCTATAATACAACATTCTTTCTAAAATATGTCAACATTAAAATAGTTTTTTGAGTCACTGTACAAAGGGCATTGGTACAATTGTGTAGAACTAGATTGCAAATGGTCTTAAAGTTTCTTGCAAAGACTTAGAATATGTTATAAATTTTATCAATGATTACATAAATTAAAGTAGTGATATTTGAACTACTCATATTAAAGAGATAAATGAAAAGATTGCTAATATAAGTAACTAAACCATATCTAATCATATCAATGAGAGTATATACATTAATAACAATGACATTGTTATAATTGTAACTAATCATTTTTATGATATTGTACATAGAGTAGATGTTTAAGAATTGATGTTTGTAATAAAAGACAATAATATATATATATATATATATATATATATACATACTCATTAGTTATTGAACCTTGGAAGATCCTTCACCTTTACCTTTTAATTTGTCAAATGAGCCATAATCTCAAATAATGTGGATTAATTTTTAGTAATCATCATGAATAAAGTTGAATCTAAATCCACATATTGAAGATCATTGATTTCCAAGTATCGCAATAAATCTATGAATGGTCCACTAAGAATAAGGGATCAAAGTAATGGAATATTTAAGTTATTTGCAAGCACTGTAAAAGTATATCTATGCCTCAAAATAGGTGCTTGGTATATTAAAAGAACTATTAGATGCTTTAATGAGGTGCTAGCATCCACAAGAGGCCTTATATATCCACTATAAAGCATGATGTCAACTTATAATTTACAACTTCTACTATTTTAGTTTATAATAATAAAATCATAATTCTACTTTTAACTTTCTACTTATATTAAATTTGAAGGTATGCCATACACTATTAGAATTGCCATAAAAAATCAATCAAGGAAGACTCAAAAATTACAAAAATCTGATAAGATTTGCATATAATATCACCTCTCTAAAATTCAGCTTAATAAAAAATAAATAAAATAAAATAAAATAAAATAGTGACACCTTATTGTTCATAACTAAAGATTGAAAATAAATCCACAAACATGCCATATATTGTTAAAAATATCTTAAAAAATTAGTCAAAATAGACTCAAAAATTATAAAAATTAAATAAAAATTGTATATAAATTTATATCTTTAAATTTTTATTTTTTTAAAAAAAACCATATCTATATATTCAATCATTATTAAAGATAAATAAAGAATCTAAAAGCTTATAACATACTATTTGAATCAGCTTAAAAAATGCTACCTAATGCTTATAATCTTCTTATAGAATGAATTATATATATATATATATATATATATATATATATATATATAGCCTCAAAAGGAGATTAGGGCATAAAAAATGTTCAACAAGATACAAATAATACTTAGCGACTACACCAACATGTTCAACCTCTACAATCCTTTTTTCCAACAATGACCTTATAAGTATTTTTTTGTGATTTTGGCTCTAAACTCAATTTGGTATTGATTTCATAAATTTTTTAATTTAATTTGTGGTGGTATAGGTGCCATTTGAATCTCCTAGATTGTCTATAACAAGTCTTCAATTTAATTTTATAAATTATGCCACTCTAGTTGGTATCACAAATTGAAATTCTATAGCTACTATGAGATTTGTTGGATGTGCATCCTATAGCTTTTTGATAGAATAAATTGAATTATTGTTTAATAATTGATCATGATTAGGCTAATGGCTCTAAATATTAGGATTTTTTTTGCATAAAGCTCTAATCATTTGCTAATATAGAACTTTTAAGGATTGTATATAGTTGATAGAAAGCCAATTGAAAAGATGTTTGCAGTAGTAAGTTTTGACTTCTTTACAATATAGCTTATTTCATTTCCAAAGATGTTTTATAATCCGATTCTAGGCAAAGTTTACTACATATTTTTAGTATTTCATTGTTTTTTGTGAGTAAGTCTTCCACCATCTATTTATGACAATATTATATGACATGAAGAAGGTAGAGATGCTATGGTAGCATAAGTCTGCCAAAATTTTATGGTGGGATTATTTCTTTTCCACAATGCATCTACATTTTAGAATATTAATTATTGAAAAAATTCGTTTTCAAAAGAATTATAAATTTGAGCTTAAAATTGATGTAGAATTATTGCTTTAGATAGATATGTAGAAGCTTTGATTCTTGAAAGACGGCATTTGAAGCTTGTCAAGCATCAAGAGACCTAAAAATTTACTTCTTCTAGTTTTAAAATTTGATTTTTTCCAATTGTAGATAATGAATGTATAGGTACAACCACCATAATATGCAATGACACATGCTTAGAAGCTTTAGTGCATTTTAAGTCAAAAGAGCTTTTTGGAATACAAGGATCTTCTAACAAAGTCTCCAAGATGATTTTCCAATGTTCTTTGAAGACAATTACGTATAAGCTAAGTAGATCCTAGGATGGATGAATATCAACAAATTTCTAGTACTCTAATACATTCATGTTGCTTCAATTTTTATTTGAAGATATCACAGTTTTCACTTAACATTCTTCCACCATATTCAAAGTGGATCTTGGTTTTGGGCTTGGAGATAGGAATCCTTAGGAACACTCATAGCAAGAGCATTTAGGTTTTTAAAATAGAATGAGAGAGACAATGATGGCAATTTTGTTATGTGTGTAGTATAGAATGCAATAAAACTTGTGTTGTTACAAGATTGTAGACCTCATGATAGAAGTGGCCATTGAACGCTATTGGATAATGTATTAGCATGCTTGAGAATATATCAAGTATTTGGCTATGGAAGGTAAATTGAAAATTATAATAAAGATCCTAACAATTCTAATAAAATCTTAAATAAATGCTAGTGAAATCTTAGTAATCCTAATCAAATCTTAATAAATTTTTAATAATATTAAAGGATTTTTTTAAAAAATATAAAAATATAAAGAATTTTTAAAGAATCATAAAAAAAATCATTAAAAAAAATTAAATTACTAAAATCAATCTTAAAGAAATAATAAGAAAATCCTAAAAAATATTAAAAATAAGAATTTTAAAGATATTCTAAAATAGTAATCTTTAAAAATTAATAAAAATAATAATCCTAAAGAAATATTTAAAATAAAAAAATCTAAAGAAATAATAAAAAAATCCTAGTCAAATCTTAATGAAATTCTAAATAAATCCTAAATAAATCCTAAATAAACTTCAAGTAAATCCTAACAAGACACATTTACAAATCCAAAAAAATTCATCCATACATTTCCTACAATACTTAAAAATTCTTTATATACATATATATATATATATATATATATATATATATATTAGTGGCTTTTTATTTTTCAAAATCCAAAATCACCAAAAACATCTTTTACATTAAAAAGCTCTCAAAAACTCAATATCCATCCAAATCACTTGAAACCAATGCTAAAACAACCTTCCTAAAGTTTATTCTCTAAATGTGCTCTTCAATTAGCAAAAGATCCCAAAAATACTAAAAGTGTATGGTTTTGTGCCTCAAGATTTGATTTTGACCCTAGTTCACAAACAATCCTCATTAAGTATCAATTCTTGGTTTCTTAAGCTAAGATTTGCTACAAACTACTCTTAACTCCCTCCTAGAGATGCCTAGGAACATAAGAATCACTAAAGTACAATTGGATGGTGTTGCAATGAACTATGGGAGCATTGGTATTGAAGAAATTTGCCATCTCAATATCCCTTAATTGAAAATAATCCTTCCAGCATGCTGCAATGTGTCTTGTGTACATGTTGGCGGGAAACATCTTGAAATACATCACATTGGTGGTACAGTTGCATTTTGCATCTATCTTCTCTTTGTGGCCAAAGTGAACACAAAAAAAGGCAACATGAAGACACATCCTTTGTAGCAGCATTGTGCTTGCATATGGTCATTCCAAACTGCACAACATGCTAATTCTAAAATACCGTCGAAGGTTTCAAAGCCATTGTGTTGAGAAATACATGCAACAAATTGTAAACAAGTTGTGGAGTTGAGAAAGTCTGCAAGATTGGTGTGCTGCCACAATCACTAATTGCAACAATGCATAAAAACTAAGTGCAGTTCAATGCAGCAATTTGGACCAAAACGTCACATTAGAAGTGACCTGGTGATGCACCCTTTAGCCACATATCCCAGGTTGACTCAGAAAACTCTTCAGGGCAAGACCTTATTGCAGAACTACGCTCTAGGGAAGGTTTTCACTTGAAAGCGTATCACTTCTTAATCACAAGATGGAGGACATTACATCACGCCTTTTCTCCACGGACTTGTAGTAGAGCAAGCTTTGGGAGGAAAAACTGAGAATTGATATAAACATTACACCATATAAGCTTAACCGAAAAAGAAGAATCAAACACGTATTGCTTCGAGATTCACGAAAACCTTCGAATATGAAACTGATGGATTGGAGCGGAGGGTGAAATGAGGGCACATAGGACACTTCAGAGCTGCCAACAGGACATGGGCCTCATGTCAGTATAATTTTTGTGGGAGTGAAGTCTCCTATCAATCATTATTCCAACGCTCAATTGGACTCGTATCCACAAGCAGCCCCTCCCACTGAAGGTCCACAATACTTACAGCACCTTGACTAGCCTCACAAAAGAGTGCCTTAAAAAAACTGGCAGACGTGGGCTCGTCAGGAGGATTAAAAACCATACTTTACAACACCTAATAGAACAATATATGCGATTGACCGAGTGGCACAGCAATGCGCAAGCCATGTTACAGGACACCGTAGTGACTATCAAATCCACGCCAAGGAGTTCCGGTCGCTTGTGGGCTGTGGTCGTCCTCTAGTTGGTGTAGGAGGTCTTGCAACGTTCAGATCCTGCGAGATCCCAAATGCAAATCATGTGATTTACAAGCATTGAACTTAATTCAAACTGGAAGCACTGATGCACAAAACCAACAGGCATCAAACAAGTATTTAGGATATCAAATGAAAATGCATTGCGACATTCTAACAATAGTGAGGATTTCTATACTCAGTTACGCTGCATAGAAGGAAAAAGACTTTGGAATTGCGTGCCTGCATCCAAGTATCCTCAAGATGGCGTTCAGGCGACGACTCCGGTGAAGTGATAGCAGGGGGTAGTGGATGGATAAGTTTGGGAACCACCACTAAATCCCTACCAAGGACCAAAATTGCTCCAGCATTGTTTGCCGTTCCTGTACAGCCACTCAGTTTAGGTGACCTATGATAAACAACGCTGGACTTGGAAGGAATACAAATACTTTAAAAAAGTATTTTTCGGATAATTATATTTTTAAAAATATATCGAATTTTTATAAAATATTTTCTGAAAGTAGGACTGCATACCACAATAATTTGTGGCAGAAAACAGAGTGATCAAGTGACCTTGAGCAAACCGCTCAAAACCATCCATCACACATTCATGTGCTCTAACAATGAGCTGAAGATCGTTATTTTTGCAAAACTCCATAACTCGATCGGGCTGGAATTGAACACAAAAAAGGTGAGCACATGGATTAGGTCTACAGAATGTGCTAACAATAACATGTAAATCAAGTCTGGTGATGTACGCGAACACTTCTTCATATAACGACTGCGCTTACCCCGTAAGTAACTAATCCAGGCCCTCGAGCATTTGGACGTAAACCCTCAACACTGTCATTTTCTGTGGGATCAGACCTGTGTAACGGTTGCACAAAAAATGAGTTCACCACAGGTCACCAGAGTTGTAGCATGCGCACTCGTAAAACGACAAACCCAAGCTGAAGAAGACAACAGAGTAATGAAGAAAATGAACATTTAAGTCAGAAAAAATGCCTACCACAGAAGATCCATCAGCACAACAGAGCCAGCGTCCATTGTGATGGGACGCTGCAAAGCTTCAATTTGGTGGACATGGTTGATAGACCTTCCAATGCCACCATGCATACAAATAATCTTCTTCTCAATCAAAGCTGCAAGTGGCAACCAATTGAAGAGCTGATTGATTCGTTGCCATGCCCAGAGGCCATCACGCTCCCCCTACAATAAATCAGCCCCCACAAAAAATGCAACTTGTCACAAAATTAATTTTTAAGATACCCCACCTTCTCAATTTGAAGTCTTAACTAAAGCAAGAAGAAAGAAAGTAGTAGGCCAAACCTAAAACTACCATTAGTTGTTTGGCATTTCGGAATAATGGAAAGAAAATCTGGGGCAGAACATACCATTCGCTCAATACACTCGATACGAAAACCAAACAAAGCGTTAATGTCGGAGGCCTCATGGTTGCCCCTGATAAGGTGTACGTTTGTCGGGTACTCGATCTGTCAAAATAAAGAAGTCAGCTTGTTAGAGTCACAAACGGAAAGAGAGGAGGTAAGAATGTTCAAAGATTGTAAAATAACAACCTCATGTATTTTCCATTCGACGGACCAGAAACAAAGCAGGGCATTGAACCAAATACTGAAACATCCGGGTTAAAGAATCTCTCGGTCCTCTCATGCAGTGCCATAGAACTAAGGGTGCCGAGAATCGTAGTAAAGAGCCACAGCACCTCTTATAAGAGAAGAGCACATGATGACATTTTATTTAGTTAGTGGGGAATAACCTTTAACGCAAGTAGCAACGCGATCGTCTCTAAGCTGTGTTGCCCTCTATCCACATAATCTCCCAGAAAAAGATAGTCAATATACCTGTAAGAAAGCAAGTTCACCACCATAAAAAACGCATTAAATGGATTTCTTTTGTACATTACGTTCCTAACAGATTGGCACGCTGACTCAATTAAATACCAAGTAGAACAGTAAGGCGTATGATGTCATAGACCATATTCATTAAATGTCTGCTTGAAAATATTTGTGCAACTCGTTCCAATAAGCTCAAAATACATGCATATAATCGACTTAAAATAAAGTGCTGCAGGAATAAGAAATGGACATACGTGATATCTCCTGCAGTTGATGGAGACCCATACTCGTCAAATAAGCGCATGAGGTCACCAAATTGTCCATGAAGGTCACCAAATATCTTAACAGGAGCTCTTATTTGTAAAACACTTGGCTCTTGAGCAAATAATCGCTCTGCTGTGTTGCAAAGCTCAGCTATTTCATTACAATCCATAAAAAATTGTCTTTTCACTGGCGGCTTCCAACCTCGTGGCTTGAGCAAGTATGAAAGCACCTACATGTGAAATTTAAGAACAGCAATAAATATCGCGAATACAATAGGACAGTCGCTTGTATCAACTCAACAAAAAGTACAGTTCATAGTTGAAACCAACATATCAATAGAATTCCATTCGACAATGCTCCAAACTGACCTAGGAATGGATACAGAAATAGTTTCGAAAGACGAATAAAGCTAACTAAACACACCTTCTTCTGGACACCATGAACAGATGTCTGACGATCCAAAAGCCTTCTTGCGTGAGAAGCACTCTCCGGTGTTCCACAGCTAACACGACGACCCTCATTCTCAAACTGGTCAATGGAGAGCTGCCTCACCAACCCACCCAATGCACCACCAGATTCTGCTGCCACAACAACCTGTAGTCACATCAATATTAGATCTTACACTGGCAGCGAGAAACAGAGTTCGCGGTCTCTATGTATACCCAGAATACATAGAAATATCCCTCAACTCCCACCACAAATATTCATGACCTCCTCATTTCACATCCTTGAACACCAGTAAGCTGAAAAAAATGCATCGATTCAGAGATCAGTGTTACATTCTTAACTGAAGGGACACACGACGCATATGAGGAAGAAGGTTATAGAAGGATTTGTAGAACACATGACACACCCAGTTGATAATACTTACTGCTCTATGGTGCAGTCTCACCCCGGTTGGGGGCGTATGGGTTGCTGCGTTCGTCATTGAAGCTCGGTTAAGAGCCATAAGTGCTGCAGAAGATGTCGGAAGTGGCTTCCCACTCAGAGGGGTTTCTGCCCCATGATCTCTCTCAAGAGCCTGTTTGTCACTCTCTCCATTCTGTTCTCGCATTGCTTTTGCTGCTGCAGAAGCAGCTAGAGCAGCACTTATTGCTTCAGCTTCAGCTGCCGAAGCTTCCACAAGAGACTCTACTCCTCGCCTTTCAGTACTGATACACAACAAAAATACATTCCATTCTAAGCCCAAATGAAACTATAGAAAAGGATGGCGATGTTTCTAGGTGCAAGGTTACCGCATTGTGTGGACACAGACGTCCTAATTAGGTGAAAGTTCAACGCACACGAACGAAGCATGTCATGAACACCAAAACAGAAAAGCACCACTGACGACTTCTACAGTTTTAATTTCACATACGATGAATGAAATTATTTACACATATTCCGCATGCAATGTGACATGGTGTGTCAACGGTTTTTTGGTATGAAATTAATTGTGTGAAATTAACAATGTGAACACATACTTTCAACAATTTTAATTGAACGTTGTTGTTCGTATGCATCATCTGAGGGAGGATGATTAATTAGAGGAAATACCGGTGTCCATGTGACACAGCATTTTCGGTGCTAATATCCATTGACGTGTCGCCATTGACTGGAGCTGCTACCGGACTCCCCATTGCAACTGAAGCCCTATCAGCAGATGACAATTCAGTTTGTGATGGCTTGCGCATCTCCTGTTGTTTGTTTGAGCGAGCAGGTGACACTGTTGAGGTTGCTGAAACTGCTGCTATTTGTGAAGCTGCTGGTGTAGTTTCGACAGCTGACGGGTCGCCTGCTACGAGAAGATCATCCAAAATATCTCCTGTTCCAATATATGTGAACCGCACTAAACAATTAAAATGTAGACCTTATACCCCATGAATTCACGTAACCGAACCTTATGCAATGAACAGTCACATCAAGAATGTGACAAGTGCGCCATTCATAGAAGGTCCTTCACCCAGTCCATATTATACATACTCAGCATATATTACATGAAAAAATTAAGTCCTAGATTATGTACCTTGTCTGCCTTGGAGAAGTAGGCACCGAACACCATGTAGTTAGATTCTTTAAAATGTGTTGAGGAGGTACATCATTTCACACATCACACAACACACTTCTCTCTTTGACAGGAGACGAGAAAATTGATAAGCAGTAGCACATACCTCCCCTGAGTCCACCGTATATAAAAATGTGATCACCTACAGCTGCAGCGGCATGCCGGCAGCGTCTTGTCAATTCGTTCGCTGCCTCTCCACCAGCTGCATCATTGCTGTACCTCCCTATTCGTGGGCTATTCACTACCCCTTTCCTATCACACCACACTCCAGCTGCTGTATCCAAAACTGCACAATAACAGGAGGCCAAAGTTTTCATTCCACCTTCATCAGCAGAAGATTTCATTGGAGAATAAAGGTCAGAGATTGATGGTTAGATTTCTCCTGTGCGGTCAATAACAAAATGACGACAACCATGCATTCTGGATATTTCAAACACGATAGCTTCCCAAACTTCCTTTCCAACTCTGTGTGCCCTCTTACAGAAAGGAAGCTACAAAGCACCTGCCACACTAGATGCATCCTCCACCATCCGTCCGCCACCAAGAGCACCTCCTGAAACATGAAGCCTTGCATTCACAAACACCTACAGGAATGCCAAGCAAACTTACATTTTTAGTGTTATAAAATAACCAAGAAATATTCACAATAATGATAGTGAAAATCATCCATTATTTACTGGCTCAAAGTAAGCTTGAACCCTGCAAGAGAGAAAGAAAAGAAAAGAAGAAAAAACCCCACTACTTTATCAAAGGATAGAGACTTACAGCTGCATGCTGATACCGTGGAGAGGGAGATATACCGGGTGCAACTGCCCACTCCCATCTTCCATCCCGATGTTTAGCAAGCCCATAAGCACTATCAATTGGCTGCAAAGACTTTTAATACATTAGCAAAAACTCCCTAACAAGAAATAATACAGGAATAATGCTAACTACACGTGCAAATGGAAAGCCAAGGAAATGAAGAATCCCAACATGGAATTTGAAACATGTAACTCATATTATCGCTGATTAGATAACCTTAAGGGAAGAGGGAAAACAAATCAAAAAAATACACTACAAGACAAAAATTTGAATTTAATTTTTTTGTCTTGTAAGAAAGAAAAAAGGATCGTTTTCAAGCATCTGAAATTTGAGGCCAACGTCTGTAATATCTCACCGCGCTATTGGCATCTCTTCCGCCACAAAGAAGCAACAGGCCGTCTGATCGTGCACAAGCAGTAGCATACCTGCAGCAAATTAACTGAAGTTACCGGAAATTACTGAAGTTAACCTAACCGGAAAAAAAGAGATACTAAATATGTATACCAAATATAAGACATGATAACCAATCATGTAAGGAAAATTCATAACCTAACATGCCCAAATTCGTTCACCCTAAAACCGGCAGTAAAGCAGAGCTGATAAAGTTCACAAACATTCGAATAAGCAATCGCAGTCCACAAAGACAAAACTCAATCCTACATGAAACACAGTCGCAATAGACATAATTCACAATCATTAACGAAGAACAATCAGCTATTGAATTAAACCGAGTTCTAAAATGATATTTCAAACAACAATGAACCACTTCTCTTACAAATAAAGGTTCCTAAATACCCTAACTGCAATGAAAGTTTCCATAGGTAAACTTACATGCATGGTGGAGGTCCATCTCCTTCTGGCTCTAGTTTCCTCCATTCATAGGGTTTGGCTGCAGTATCAAGAGCCCATACATCTGCAAGTGGGCGCTTACCTGCAATAACATATTGCTCTCATCATTCCAGTACATAGATGCACTCTTTCTGAGAGAAATACCAAGCCCGCTGGAATCCTGACTCACCATCATTTCCACCAATGCAGAGAAGAAAGCGTTGCCCCACCAAGGACATAACATGTCCATATCGTGGACCAGGACCCGTACCCTGTACGACCACCCTGACCACCTCACCCAAGGCCCTTCTTAGCATAGTCCACAAAACATCACCATTTTCCCCATCAACTTCTCAAATAACTGCTGTGTCCACAGCTACAAAGGTGGGTGAAAAAATTGGTACGTGCTGGGAACAATGGTGTGAATTGAACAAAGTGTGGTTTTTCGTTATCACAGTATATGTAATCTTCCAAATACATAATTGTGATATGATGTTTGACAAAACCTATCCTCTGAGCAGGTCTGTGATTGTTTTAAATATTAAAAAAAATAAGATAACAAGAGCTACCGGCCTATCCAATACAATTACAGCTCATCACGACATAAACTAGTGGATAAAATGTAAAGCTAATCAGAATTAGATCGTATGCCTAAAATACTACCAAAATAACCCACCTGTGCCATCTGGGTTTAGCTTGAGTAAGATCCAGAACATGTAAGTCTTCGGTTGAGAGCCCTGCTGGACCTATACCACCCTGCGTCACCTCCACCGGCGTCAGCTTCTTCGCAATAATGGCGAGTCTATGCTACAAACTCCAAAAGTGATAGCTCTTATCTTTCTTGCCTTGTCACACTGAAGATGCTTACGGGAGTTCCTGTAATTCGTCATACCTGAATCACTACCATGGTACCAACAGCAGTTGCTGCATGTGCTGCTCGAGGGGAAGGAGGATCACCAACTGGAATGAGCCTGCATAGCAAAACGAATCCTGGGCTTAAAGCTAATGCAGAGAGGATGAGATGCCGGCATTGCATGGATTGCTGGAATTGCGATAGAATTGCCTTGGGACCAAGATTCAACATTTTACAACTAGACTCCAGGGTGACACATTCTTCTGACAATCTTTAAGGTTAGAAACTTGAGCCAAGCTTCAATATAAGATAGGTGTCAAGTTGACTGAAGAATCACAGACAAATAACTATGACTTTCCATAGAATTCAACGAACATTTTAAAAAGAAAAAATCGACAAAACTTTAAAACTTCAGAAACCAGGGCTTAAGTAGACGAGGTCTAGACAGAAAGTAAATTGAAATGCTCCCCGCAAAAAACATAACCAATCATCTAGCTTCCCAAATGAATGCACGAAATGAAACAGATTCAGTCCTGACGAGCTGACCTGGACCATTTGTTGGTATGTGCGTCATAACAATGCACGTCTGCAGTAGCGCCTGCTAAACCTGTCCATGACGAGCTTACAAAGCTTAAGAGGAGGTACTGCTGATATTATACCTATAATTTCATGCCAACATGTAAACTCCAAAACTGTAAGAGAATTTCACGTCCAACACGTTCATGACAAGGTATCCACGCACGGAGCCAAAAACAGGGGACAAGAGACATACGAATGCCGGCACCGGCTACAGCCGTCTGAGGACCAGCTTGACTCGAATTGCCCTCCAGCGCAGTGGCACCGCCGAACAAAATCAGCCTGGGACCGATGTAGGCCGGCGAACCCTCCTCCCCCACAGCTGCCACTGCTGTCAATGTGTGCCCGCAGCGTGGACCTGGTCCATCGTCCTTCCTCTCGCATATTGCGGTTATGGCCTTGAACGCGGGCGCAGGCCGTGGCCCAGCCAGCTGATGCTGATAATGTTGATGATGTTGGTGCTGCTCTTGCCCAGTCCCCCCGTTTTCCACCATCCCTCCTACATCTACTTCCATAATCCAAACCTCGATCGATCTTCCTGAATTCGCTACAAAACCTGCCACTCCATCTCCCCCTCACTGCCCTCCATCTCTACCGCAGCTATCGTCCCCCAGCGCACCTGTCCTCCCACCTAAAACCGAGCGATACCACATCCGATCATCTTCATGGCTCATCGCACCACCCCATTCGTAGAACCGGTGAGGGAAAGAGAGGGGGAAAAAAACAAACAAACAAACAAACAATAAAGGCCGAGAGGAAGGGACTCGTATACCTAATCAAGCAATAATCTGACATTCATCAGCTAGTGGCTGATAGCAGCGAGCCAGGCTCATTGATGACGCAAGACAGAAACAGACAGAAACCGACTCCGCAAAAACCTCAAACATGCGCGAAGGAGCACCCTACTATGGTATAGTATGAACATTCAAGAGTATGAACAGAATCACAGTTCATTAGCAGAAGAAAACAATCTTGCACGCTCACTCCAGTCCTCGAGGCTACGGAGGGCGAGAGGGCGAGAGGAAGAGAAAGAGAGAGTGATAGAGAGGGAGAGATTTAAAAAAAAAAAAAAAAAAAAAAAAAAAAGCGAGAGAGAGAGAGAGAGAGAGAGAGCGAGACTGACAACCCTTGAAGGCAAACCAGTGATTGCTGGCGATAGTGATGCGGTTTGGTAAGGGGACAAAAAATCAACAACGACGAGAGGTTGGTTTGAGGAGGAAGAGGGAGGAGGAGGAGAAAAAGGAGCTGTGTGAATGTACCACAAGACAGAGACACAGAGACAGGCAGACTCACAGTCTCTCACAGAGCTTGCATCAGCGACGACTGGGTAAATTCCCCGGGAGGGAAGGGAAGGGAGGGCGGGAGTCTGGCCCCGGTGAGGGAGGTCGGGCAGCTAGGCAGCTGCTTACAAGCTATGTGAGGATGCTTGGCAAGTGGCAACAGACGGACGTGAGCAGCTCTTTTGCACTGATTCAAGACCCCCCCCCCCTCCCTCTTCGCCATGGACTTTGGACTCAGTCTCTCTTCCCTGCCCTGCCCTTCGCTGCCCGTCCAGGCCCTTCTCTTCCTGCCAAAGACGAGGGTGATGCTCGTTCGTCGTGTGTCCGCATCGTCGTCGTCGTCCTGCTGCTGCTGCTTATTCACCCTCCTAGGCTGATGGACACATGGTGGACAGAGGTGGAACCCAACAAGTACTTGAACCCTGATGACTCCAGCAATTTCCCCGTCCATTTTACTGGCATCGTTTCTCGTCGACTTCATTGGGTTTTGTAATTCTGTTGTTTCCAGAAACTCCGTCGCAACAACTTCCTTTCGTTGTCATAACGTCGTCGTCGTTGTCGTCGAGGAAGAGCTCTCTCCATTTGTCGTTGTGGGAAGACGATAAACTGACGAGAACCGACGAGGGATTCCTCGTTCTCAATCCTCGACGATAAAGGGGAAAGAAGTAAAAAAGTAAAAGGTGGCGAAAGAAGAAAAAGCATCGTGCCCTATTCTTAATCTTTATATGCTAATTGTTGCATGAAAGAAAATAGGGCTTTCAATTGGTTTGAGCTATTAAAACAGTTCATGAGATTGATACTGAATAAGATAAGATCTTAGTTTATCCATTTAAACAATAATGTCATGTGTTCATTAATGAATGTTTTGCTCTTCTCAGTATATCATTGTAATGGGAGTTTAAAATATGTACTGATCATAGCAAGTACATTAGATTATATTGTAATGCATCTGAAGATTAAGAACCAAATATAAACTTTGAATATTTTTATAACATTTAATCTTCAACAAAAAAAAAAGAAAACAAAAGAAAAAAAAAAAAATTTTAGATTAAAATTTTAAAATAAATTAAATATTTATTATACATTCAATTACTTGACTCTTAATTATTTAGAGTAACATATTTTTTACTTTATTACAAAACCTTTAAATTTATATTCATATAAATTATTTATTTATTTAAATGAGAAAATAATTGTATTTTTAAAAGTACATGAGTGAAATACATAAGGTTTTTTTATGATATATAATGTGATTGCTAAATAAATTAAATGTGATAATCAAAAGGTATATATGTATATATATTAAAATGTAGTCAATCCAAAATAATAACAATATTTTATCATTATTTATTTATAATGAACTAGAGAGGTACTAACTTATAAGTATATAAGTATATATATATATATATATATATATATATATACATAATAAAATGAAATAAATAAAGTTTAAACCTTATTTTGGAAACGATTTCAGTATATTTTGGCTTTGATTTTTTATTCAAGATATAGTACAACAAAAATTTATGTTTTTCTAAAATATATTATCAACTAATATATTATAACCACATTAAGTGTAATTTATATACAGACTTATTTTTAAAAAAACATTTGGTTTTTTCCTGTTTTTTTATATATGTATGTTAATAAATTTAACTGGTATTTTTAATGATGTTTATTTAAATAAGAATATTGGATTTTAATTAAAAAGAAGTTTTAATTTACCTTGCAAGTCTAAAGATCTCTCTTGCATTATTACAACTTTTTCTAATTGATGTCATTTTATGTGGTATAGGTTCATTGTACACATAGAGATTTTGATATTGAAAGTGTGGTGATAATTTGATGTAAGGAGAAATTGGCACTTCACTCTTGCACATTCTCTTCAAACATGTGCACAGGCTCTAAATTCACGAAGAAAATCTTCATGGATTTCAAACTTTCCTACAGCCAAAGGAAAAGAACAACTCCTGGTATGGTAAACAATCAACTTGGTGTTTCAATGCACTTCCTCAAGGTTAACAATATTTTAAGGTTTTATAGATTGGATCTTGATAAGAGTCGGAGAAACAACAGCTGCCTAGAAGAGTCTCCAACGTGGCAGATAGTTACCTCCAAAGTTTTATTTATTTATTTATTTTCTTCTTCTGCAGAATTTGGCTACTTTATTGTCACCTTTGTTTTGACCAGAACAATGAAAAGATTGAATTATTTTTCTGTTGGTCCTGGCATTAGAATAACTATCTGAGTAAGCCGTTGAATTTTTGGAAAAGAAAAAGAAAAGAAAAGATCATGTAAGTTCGTATTCTCAACGATGCATGTTCTTGGGAAGCCGCTTGTGTGTTTGCTTCAGGGTACGGGACCTCCTCCAAAACCAACACTTTTAGCCATAGGTGCTGCAATGAGCTGAAGGACTACTTATGTTCAAATCCTCTGGTTTCATTTTCATTAAGACAATGTTGACAGAAAATAATATTCATTCAGTTGGGAGACCATGGTAATCTCTAACCAAAAAATAATACCACATGGCGGATCAATATTAACTTAGCCTTTATCCTCCGTGAATTTTCACATGCATCTGGTGATGGAAATTATTGTGCGAACTGCCGGTTTACTGATAAATTGGAAAAAAATTAAGTTTAAATTGAAAGACACAGCTGATTCTCATGTCAGGTGTCCTAGATATGCAAACTGGTGTTATACTCGTATTAAGCTTGCTAATTCCTTATTACATAAAGGTTGAAAAAATACAGGTATTGAGAACTAATACCACTTCTATTGGGCTTGGGTATTTGTGTAATGACTATGATGTGCAGGTAAATGCTTTATATCACCGATTCTCGCACAGCCTCTGACAATAAGATGAAATGGTTGAACAATACAGTAAAGCAACAGCCCAAGTAGTCATGACACATGGACCATTGCCAAAGTTGTATAAGTTTTTGCTACCTCATCTTAATTCATATGTACAAGTGGAATTGTAGGTAACTATTGGAACTACGTCATTCCTAAGCAGATTGCGACCCATAGGAATATGCCCTAAATATAGACATTGTACAAAGTCCATGATAACTCCATCAAACTTAATACTAATCGTGGTAATTAATAAATTATAGCACATAAAAATTGGTGCTTCGATAATGTATTTGAATAATGCTTCATCAATTTGTGAGAAATGCTGTATAATTAATGTCAAGATGTCGGAAAAAAGCATACCTCATGCAGCAACTAGTGGAAATGATCCTCCGCAAGCGAATGCAAAGCATGAAAAACCGTTGATGAAAGTCATCATACCCGACGCCGAGACCTCAGATAATCTCAAAAAAAACTACTCTTAAAAGAGCCCCTGAAATATATCAACGATTCTATATTAACAGATCAATAAAATAAATAAAAAAACGTTTTAGTCTCAAGTAAAAAATTGCTTAAACTGAAATGTGTCATCCAATAGATAGTGCACTGACAGTAGTGAATGACTTAATCAGCACACCACTTTTTTGTTTGTTTACACTTGATCACTCCAGATATCTTCGTTCTAAGATGTTTGCGTAGGAAAAAAAATAGTATACATTGGCAATTACTAACACAATCTGGTGTTAAGATATCCTAAAACTGAAGCTTATCAACGTTCAGTTGAGCATTGTAACATAGTGTCTAGGACAAATAGGAGACAAAAAAAGAAACAGATGGCAAACAGAAAGAACGATAAAAATATGTACAGGATGAACCACTAGTCAACAACATCAGGAACGCCATAAGCCAACAGGCACAGAACACAAGGACCAAATGTACGAATCGTACTGAGAATGATCAGCGTGAGAAATATACCTCTTCAATAGGCGACAAAGATGCACTTCCTTTCTCTGGTAGCAACCGAAAATTTGAATCGTCAATAACTGCTTGTACTGGTATCACTTTCTCCACTGGTATCAAACATCTTAACATGGTCATTGGTATCATATACAACTGATCTGCCACCTTTACTGTTTTCTTCTACCTCGTCACTCCATGTCCAATTTGACTGCTGTGATGAAGTTTGAAAATGCAAACCGCTGTTGCCCAAGCTACCATCAGCTTCTGTATCCTTTGCAACCCTCTCTTTCAGATCGTCCTCGTCAAATCCATGTCCCTTCGTGCTATTCGCCGTCCCTTTCTCACTAGCACCATTGCTCATTGGGGAGCGACGTTTGGGAATGACAAACTCGTCAATAACACGAACCTTTGAGAACCGATCACGAATGTGACCTACAGGGGTCCATTGACTTGGACAGCTCCGCTTGTGTGATGGCAAGTCGGGCTTCTCTGCTTGCTCTGCTTCCCATTCAGGATCCAAGGCCCACTCTTTTGGCACCTTTAAATGTATGAACTTTGTAAGTAATGTTGACACTCATAAATGCATGAACCTCAAAGAAAATAAAAAGGGAGTGCAGATATGGTGATGGCTATTACAAAAGCGTTACAAAAGGCCACTCAAATGTATTAAAAAGATCACAATTAGAAAGTACAATATAACCAATAACTTGAAAATCATATCATAAACGCCCCGAATTCTAGGTCAAATAGAAGCCATATTGCCAATATATGTGCTCATCCTGAGGAATGTTACGAGTTTGAAAATATACCTTGTCTGCAGCCAACGTATAAACATGCAAGTCGCCATCACTGTTGATATGAAAACGGTTGAAAGACTTGTAATTGGCGATGCGAAGTGAAGAGAACGCTTCGTCAAAGTGTAGATGGAACCAATTTATACAGGCGTACAGGTAGCTTCCAAAAACCAATGAGACTACTGGCGTTGAAAATACCCAATAGTACAAAAATACAGAGGCATAATAGGCAAGTACAAATCCTCGAGGTAAGGAGTCCATCCCACTTTTGCAGATGTTGGCTCTTGTGACAGCCATAACCTGCCACAAGTGAGGAAACATACCAATCCCTTTAATACACCCGATTGCGCCTCCTTAAGCAAGCACACTGGCCATGATGTTAATATACTGGTTAGTAGGCACATTGCACAAGATTCAGCTCTATGCGTAGATGTTTGTATCAAACCTCTGGTACATCAAACGCTGCCATTAGGTACTTTATGCATGCAGGATAGAAGCCCATAGTCCAATACTCGATACGTGCTCTTAATCCAGTAGGATCTGGAAAGTGCTCTCCCTCTTTTGTATGATAAAATGAGTACAGCGAGTGATAACCTGCAAATATCGTAAGAGAATTATGGACCCCACGATAAGTCAGTACATATTAGCAAAGGAGAGACCTGAGCGAAATAAATGAGTTGAATGCAATTCAATGCGGAACCTCACCAGAAGTGCCAAGTAGATCATGGCGTACACAAATTTCAATACCAATCTCCAACAGGATCATGTAAGCAATCGCTGATGTAAGATGAGCCGCGAAGTGTAGTAGACCAATCACAATTCGCTTGCTGCGCGATACCTTAACTGGAACAAACTGTATGGATAATATTACTAGTACCAATGCTCCTGTCACTGATACATAGCTATGCTCCAACATATCCAGAAAAGCTCGACCCATGGTGGCTCCAAATTCCCACACATGGCCCAACATAGTGTCATCTCGAAGTACCTGATCCAATTCACACTGATACCAAACTCCAAATCATCAGTATAACGGTGGATATGGGCCTAACAAACAGTTAGAGTTGCAAGTCCAATTCAGGCTACTATCTGACACCCTCGTTCTGAAAATTTTAAATATAAATTTAATACAATATCCTCAAATCTACATATTCTCTGTTTAAGTGTCCAAAAGGTATTCAGAAAATTAAAAAAGAAAAAAGAAATTTACAGAAAAAATAATATAAAAATAAAAACAGAAAAAAAGAACAGAAAGCAAAAAAGAGGCCAGTTCTCTCACCTGTGGGAACATTGAGAAAACCAATATAAAGTATACAACACCACCAATTACATCAAAACGCCAATTCTTCTTTCGAAACTTCAAGATGTTTCCCCATGCAATCTGTAAGGAAGGTAACCATACACACAAATTTACTCATAAGCTTTGTCCAATATCATGTCCTAGACAGGCATAAATTTGAGTAATTTGAAGAATGTTATGATTTACATACTTGCTCAGATTCTTTGAGGGAAGGGTAGGCAAACTTCTTCTCATAAACGCCATCCTGAAATTTATTGAAGCCTCCAAATACATGAGTTGGATGGAGGAAAGCACCCCCTGAGCCATTCACAATCAGATGCTCGACTGATGTGGACGAACCGGACACAAGTTTATGTCGCATATAATTGTGGAGGTCGCCTGCTATACGAAGTCTGCACCTACCCTTGAGATAGTGTTCAACGAAATGAGCAACATTCGATCCAGTAGTGCTGTCCCAATACCAATCTAGCAACCAGTTTGGCTCATGGGTCACCAGTATGACCGAATCGTCCTCTCCTACCTGTTTCACGAACCAAAAGAAACAGTCTGAACAACCTTCTACTTTTCTGATATATGCAGTGCTAAAAGTATGTCTTAGCAGTATGATAAAAATAGAACTTCCTACTGGTCTAGTATTCAACATCAAGTAACAATAATGGAAGATTAATGATACACATCCTTAACATTATACTAAATAATGCATTTGATTCTTGCTTACGTGTTAGAAAGAGAAAATTCTATCAAACTCACATGCTCTTTCACGATTTCTGTGAAATACTTGAACTGGAAGATATCAATGTCACCATGAAGAGCTTGATCAAAGCCAAAAATCCACCAACCACAAGGAAGACGCAATGCAAAGTAGCTTTTCTGCTGAGGTAACAACCAACCTCCAAGCCAACTCCTATGACATATATACCTCATAAATGTATCGAGCCCATCAAACCAATCTGCACACAGATGAAACCACTTCAATGTTAGCCAAGTACTCTAATGTTTTTTTGTTTTTTTGTTTTTTAATTTTTAATTTCAAACACAGACACACACAGACACACACACACACACAAAATCAAACAATCCTCACTTCGAGATCCTATGAGCAACATCCGTATGGAAAGATACTACGGTAATATTCGTAACGTTTATTTGACACATTCAAAGGTTCCAATCTGCCAACTCTCTAAGTAAAAATTAAAGTAAAATTTAAAGAGTAAAAATCATGCCCTTTTAATACAAAGTGTTACACATTGCAGCATTAATTTACGAGAAAGATGGGTCGAACAGCTGTTGAAGTTAACAAATTACCATGATTGCCAGGTATAGCAAAGCATTGTGGAGCCCGGAATTCCTCCAAAGAATGTACACCCTCAGGAAGCTCTGGTTTCGTCACTGCTATATGCTCTGGCTTGTACCAAACAGGTGGCTGCATTGCATATTCAAAAGGCAGAAATAGACGTCGTTCATAGGAGTACGTAGATGGATTTGGGTAGCTGTTGCACAATTACGGTAACGATGAAATGAGAGTGCTCACAAAGAGTAACATCACTTTTCCCTGCAAATACCCTATATAATTGCTGTGAAACAACACTAACAGTAATAAGAAAACCATGTACATATATTGACCGCAACATTAAAGAATACTCGAAGAGGATCTGAAACGTACGCAAGATCTCCACCAATAATAAGCAGATCACCACGCGGTAATTCAGTTTTTCCCATTTTAAGAAAGGGCTGTGCAAGAAGTCGCGCAACGCTGTAAGTGGAATTACCACCATCACCTGTGTCAGCCATGAAATCAAACCAAAGGCCATCCCGTTTGCTGAGATGATCGTAGAAGAATCCGTCGTCCTTATACTGATTAGCCTGTGTCATTGCTGCCTGCAGTGAGCGAATGCACTTATTAGAGCAATGTTCAATATCTCGTAAATAGATATGACAGCGTTCGTCCAAAAAACCAGTAGGAAGGCAGATGAGAGCGGTAGTGCTTGACACGATCAAAATTTATGCGATTTTCTGTACAAGTCATTCCAATCTAAACTTTCTTTCTCAGATATTCATCATATTTTCGTGAAGAGCATACCTGCATAGTCCTCATATCAAATCGGCCTAGAAAGAGTGTCACTGACACCAGAAGATCAAATGCTGTCTTGAACAAATCTGCAGATGTTCTGACCCCCCAATTGCCACCATCCCATTTTCACCACGTAAGCCCAACAACAATAGAATGGTTTAAGAATGCTAAGATACTAAGATGAAATGAAGTCCACGCACCCTGAATACCAAGGAACCATATCCAGAAACTCAGGTGCAGTGACAGTCGTTTTCTGCGGTCCATTTTTCGTCTCCGGCTGAGGATGTGTCAATGCCCATCTGTAGAAAGAGGTTAGAATTGTGAGTAAAAGACTCTCCCAAAAGCCAGATGCGGTATGCTTCACTTAATAGTGTAGAAACATTAGACCAACTAAACGCTCCAATTAACCGAGAAGCAAATCCAGGGAAGAAAAACCAATATTATGACATACCCAGTTGAGCGCTCCACCACGTAGTTGGCAACGTACAACCCTATGAATGTTGCCCACAGAGAGTAAACAGGAGAGATAATGTCCGTAGGCCCCCCGACACATCCGTCATTGCACACTAACTGCACCAAAATAGAATTAAAAAAACATGTTAAAAAACAAAATCCCAATGATCAGTAATAAGCAAGTTTGATGTATTGTCAGTCATGTAAGCAGACATGCTGGATAATCAATCATAGATTTCTTATTAAAAATAACAATGGTAGTAATTTGGTGATTAAAAATTAGAAGTAAAGAAAGTAAAAAATAGACAGTGCTTCCGCTGAATTACTGTTATACTTCACCGTCTTTTATTTGTAATTGGACATATTGTGTAGATAAATGATGAGACATCCGACATTTCTTTTCACAATTTCAAAAACCGAATTATATATGGAAGTTTCAATGATATAAGTTAAAAATATGTTAATGAGGAAATACCTCGCCATAAAGAGCCCATTTGGAGAAGACGGGGTAATCAGCAGCAGTGCCAACAGGGCCCAACCACTCAGTGCACATCTGTTCCTTAGCATGGTGCATATTCTGCAAACCTGCAAACCACTTAGGCAGATCCTCGAACATAGACCGTTGCCTCTGGAATATACCAGGTTGGGCCGGAGCTTGGTTCCCACAATGGCTGTAGAATGCACAACATGCAATGCTCAACACCTGCACCAGAAACACATCGTACAGCAATACCTTAGAACGAACCCAAGGGCATTTACGAAACATTTTGGTACGCATTCTCTTGAGAAGGCTGCCTTCGATGTTCTGATCAACATAGACCGCCTCCAACCACTTAGTTATTGACCTCTGTCCAAGGGAAGAGAGTGCACTAAATTACTTAATTTAGTGGACAACAGACACCTCTCTTAAAATGGCTACTTCATAACTTCGCTGCAGACCAGATTTATAGGATGAACACAACACGATGCGTTGAACATTACAGTGATGCCTAATTGAAGCACTGTAAAGTAACATAAATTAATTAGACGAGAAGCATACCGCACTATTTTGAAGGATAGTTAAAATTTCCGGACGTTTTCCTGCGAGTCGAGCTGCAAATCCGAGGTACCAGAGTCCCAAGAAAGCAACGTGGAACAGGACAAGAACCAGCACTGATGCAACAAATAAAGTCAAAAAGAGAGAGAGGTTCATCCGAATATCAACTCCCATTGACTGGAAGCTTGGCAAGTGATACACGGCAGCAATTAGGAGCCACCCCACGTACCTGCAAAATACTTATACTTATTTTATTCGCACAAAAAAAAATATACATATATACACTAATAAAGACATCCATTAGCTCTGTCGATTAGTAACCCTAATACTTCATTTCGCTAGTGCAACGATTCTAAGAGCAGTAAGACAGTGCCAGGTATTTCGGGAATTTCTTCCCTCAGACGAAAGTAACTATCTACGCATTATCTTCCCAAACTTTTGAATATTCGAAATTATCAACTGAAGTCCTAAAAAAAACCAATCCTGGGCACCCCGGTGCGTAACGCTTCGTCTAGAGTAGTAGTTTCAATTGGTGTAAATACAAAAATGCACAGTTGATCATCATTCCAGAATTTGCATGTCGCTAATAATAAACATTGTTCATGCCAAATCAAGAATAGGTGATTGGTTTCGAAGCTTAACCCACCAGCGACTAAAATTTGAGTAGCTGGGCTGAATGGTGCTCCCCAAGAAGGGCGAAGAGAAAAAGTAGAAGAAGCCCAGTAAGAATCCATAAATAGACCACCATTTGATGTTGGTGTCTAGCTTGTGCAAAACAATGTGGAGATTGTCCGAGAAGATGAAGAAAAGCGCCACGGCTACCACCGCAATGAGCGCATGCTGTGAATGCTCGTGAGGGTAGGGGTATTCATGTTGGAGCATTGTCCGTACTCTACGCACCGTTCTCTTCTTCACTTTCTTCATCGTCTTCCCCATGCTGTCCTCTTTCATTAACCACTTACCCATTCAATCGGTATAATACATACTCGTCAAGCACTCAGGAACTCTGTACTCAGAAATGTGATCATTCACCACAACTTACACTATGGACTGGACTTCTGCACCCCCAAAATCACCCAGAAATCTACACACAAAAGCTTCATTAGCCTTCAAGGACCTTCAGCCCTGTGCACACCCGACTTCCGTGACCCACTTTCCTTCAAATGACCCTCCTCCCAGAATTCAAAACACTCTACTCCTCACCCTCCCTAGGCAAAGACATCAGACCAAAAAAAAAAACAATCCCAGTCTCCACCATGAGTCCTCTGCAATCAACCACAGTTCTTGCTCCATAAGCAAACCACTTTAACCCCACTCCTCCAACTAAATCATTGCATGTACGCTCCACCGCGAGCACAAAACACCCCGTCAACTTCGCAATTCCAGTTGCCCCTAAGTCGCTTCTCCCAATATCCACCCAGAAACCTGCAATAGTGCTATACCCTCCTGCCTGATCACAAGCCCCTCAATGAGCGCAATACCGTAGCCTCCAAGAGAGCTAATGGCACCGGGTCGCGTGAGGCACCAGCAAATCACCGCCTCTGCGATCCTGGGAAATCCAGCCACAAGTTCAGGCTGCTGCTCCTCGTCATCAACCGCTACTTAGCCATAGAAAAAGAACTCGTGGACGACTCGCGATGAGCTTTGAAGCGACACTCCCAAAAGTTTGAATGCGCTCCCACGCAGTCACTCAGAGAAGGCGACACCTATACTGCGAAATTGAAACCATCGCTAGGGATAATGGTATTGCTTGCATTGCCGAGGAACTTTCATTGCACTTTCAAACACGTCACGTCCATCGCCAGGAATCCCTGGTTTAGGGTGTGGGCAGACGCCCACCGAATGCCCAAGCGACGCGTAGTTAACGGACTTGGTGTGCTCGGCGAGTCTCACCAGGTAGCGGGGCTGACGCGAATTCCCCCTTTCCCCTCCCCACCCCCCTTCTTCCCACACTCGCAACAAGAACAACATTTACAAAGCATCGCAATAGCATCGAAACTTCTTTGTTCCTCCCCACCCCCCCTTCCCGAGGTCATTCAATCTGGGAATCAACCACGTCCGGACAAGTGGCGCGGTCAAGGGTGATCGGCGGTTTCAAGCCCCCAGGTTGTGCTGACGTGTCCTCACGCTTCACCTCTTCTTTGGGAGGATTGAAGCGCCAGAAAACTTGTGAACCACGTGATATGGCCGCTTAACAAAACACGATGAATGTATATTATTATTTTTATTTATGGGTTCTTGTTATTTTCATCCTAAGTAGTTTAGAACTATGAGAACATTTATGATACTGGTCAAAGTTTAAATTTTGTTGCGTAGGTAGAGTGCATGCTTTACTGTAATTAGAAACCGAAATCAAATCCAGGATAAGAAGAATAGGAAAAAGACAAGAATAGCAGTTAAGATATATATATATATATGTATACATATCGATTTGTGCCCAAGCATAAAGAAACAGTTCGATGACGTGGAATCATACGTGGCGCCATTGGATCCCGAAAGGGCGACACGTCAAACGGCGGGAAGGAAGACCGGAAAGGCGCCAGCTTGAGAGGGGAAGAGGTGCATATGGACCTCCTCCCTTCTTTCTTATTCAAGCTGTCTTCCATGCCCTTTGTTTCCTGCGCTTGCTTGCCCTACTTTGCCTGTATAGTGCCCTCCCGCATTGTGCACAGCCATTCTATTCCTGCTCTGCTCTGCCGTAGAGCATATACAGGCCTTCTGTGTATCCCTATTCAAACTTAGCGTCTCGGGGCTTCGATTCGTGTGAGCAAGGATGCAGATCTTTGTGAAGACTTTGACGGGGAAGACCATCACCCTTGAGGTCGAGAGCTCCGACACTATCGACAACGTCAAAGCCAAGATTCAAGACAAGGAGGGCATACCGCCGGACCAGCAAAGGCTCATCTTTGCAGGGAAGCAGTTGGAAGATGGTCGCACTTTGGCCGATTACAACATCCAGAAGGAGTCCACCTTGCACTTGGTGCTGCGTCTCCGTGGAGGGATGCAAATCTTTGTGAAGACTTTGACAGGGAAGACAATCACCTTGGAGGTGGAGAGCTCTGATACGATTGATAACGTGAAGACGAAGATCCAGGATAAGGAAGGAATACCTCCCGATCAGCAGCGGCTCATATTCGCGGGCAAGCAACTCGAGGACGGACGCACTCTTGCGGATTATAACATACAGAAGGAATCCACTTTGCACTTAGTGTTGCGACTGAGAGGTGGCATGCAAATCTTTGTGAAGACGTTGACGGGGAAGACTATCACCTTGGAGGTGGAGAGCTCTGACACGATTGACAACGTTAAGACGAAGATTCAAGACAAGGAAGGCATTCCTCCCGATCAGCAAAGGCTTATTTTCGCCGGCAAACAATTGGAGGATGGTCGCACCTTGGCAGACTACAACATCCAAAAAGAATCAACCTTGCATTTAGTCCTACGATTGCGAGGTGGCATGCAAATCTTTGTTAAAACCTTGACCGGTAAAACAATCACGCTTGAGGTCGAAAGCTCTGACACAATTGACAACGTGAAGACGAAAATCCAAGACAAGGAAGGGATTCCGCCCGATCAGCAGCGTTTGATCTTTGCTGGTAAGCAATTAGAAGATGGCCGCACCCTTGCTGATTACAATATCCAAAAGGAATCGACCTTGCACCTGGTCTTGCGTTTGCGCGGAGGAATGGAAATCATTGAAGATACTTTGGCCAGTAAAATCATAACCTAGAAGGTCGAAAGCTCCGACCCCATCGACGACTTCAAAACAAAAAACTCAAGTCATGGAGGATATTCCAACCGACCATAAGCATCTGAACTTGGGGGGCAAGCAAATCGCAGGTGGTCAAGCCCTTCCAGATCATACAACATTCTGAGTGTACCTGCATTGAATTTGGCGCGCCGGTTGAGAGGTGGTTCTCAGACACTTGCACCGCGACACTGCAAATAAGATATACCTGAAGCATATCGCACAAAAGAGGTTGCTCCGTTTTCTATATTTATAGGAAGGGCAGATATTCCGGGGCAAGTCGGCTTCCGCAAAAAGTGAGCATAACGAATCCTGTTCACCGATGTGTTTCAAAAAGTAGCTTATGGAAGGTGTCACTCACAACTATCATTAGTGGAATTAAACAGATCATTATTGATTGATTCTACATCACATGTCTTGTTCACTAGTCTCCCTTTCAAAAAAAACAACAACAAAAAAAAAAAAAAAAAAAAAAAAATGAATGCTACGCACGCTGGGACTAATTAATAAAAGTTACACGTAGTTGCGGTAGAGAGAAGACACACTTCGGCCTTGCAAGTGCAGAGCAGCTTCTGTAGCACACAAACTCAACTGATACTCATTATTGTCATTGGCTGTGCATTTGAAAACCTTAAATCCCTCTTCGTTGTCAGATGCAAACATACACCCAAATAGTGAAGACAGAGAGAGCGAGAGAGAGGACTTGTCGGGACGTATCCTCATGTGAACATATTGTTTCATCCCAACAACCATGTGAAATTGGGTGCTTGAATATCTATGAGAACACCCAAACATTCCTTATGATACATCATGACTGGAAATCAAAATGCGGTTGACAGGAAAAGACATGCAGAAAATTAGTATTGCCTGTACATCCGATGGTACTGAGAACGGCAGTTTTTGCATCCACACTGCATGCTACATTGATAAGAATTCCTTCATCATTTGTCAAAAAGATGGAAAATGCGTCAGCATCTTGGCAAGAGAATCGCTCAATCGAAGAGAACAAATGTGACTCAACTCACCTATGAGGATGATAACTCCTAGAGATGGACAAGTGGAGTTTAAGAACTTTGAATGACCTGCTGCAACGAATTCTTAGGCAAGCTTCAATGCAGATAGCCAAAGCTCGCTGAACTCATGCAGCAGGGGACGTTCGTGGTCAGATGACTCTTACTCACTATCCATGTGCACTTGTTTATAACTACAAACTCGTTAAAAGTACAAAATATGCTCTACATTGTAATCTTCGTGCCATAATCTGGGCATGCAATTGATGATCACGTCATGCTTCTATTTCACGTGGCGAGTCGCAAAACCCATTCAAGTGACCCGCCGGTATATGTAGTTCTTGTGAGAGAAGAGTAGAGCATTGATTAAATGCTGGCAGAAAAACTCAGATTGTCATTGAGTTGCGCGGTTCACACGTTCCGTCCAGAGACATTTCGCCGAGCAAAGCTCTTGATGCTTTGAAGGTCGTCGGCAACCATCCTCATGGTAGGACGATCCTTCCTCTTCTCTGCTAAACAATCCATAGCTACCTCGGCCACGCACTGTATTATCGGCAATGACTTCTCATACTCATCCCTCGGCTCCTTAAGCTGAGGATCTATGATCATGTCTATGTTTCCTTCCTTGATGATAGGTATAGCATATGCTGCCAAGCTGTGTTCGTCTCCTCTATGGTAGTCCAGGGGTTTCTGGGACGTGATAAGCTCCATTAAGACCACACCGAAGCTGTAGACGTCGCTTTTGTCCGTTAGGTGATAGCTGTGGAAGTACTCGGGGTCGAGATAACCTGGGGTGCCCTGAACGGCTGTGGAGACATGCGTTTTCTCAGGGCTCGTCAAACGAGATATGCCAAAGTCTGCAACCTTGACAGAAAAGGTGTTGCTTAGCAATATGTTAGCTGACTTCACATCACGGTGATAAATAGGAGGCTGTGCAGCAAAGTGGAGATAGGCAAGTGCGTCAGCAGTCTCAGATGCAATTTGCAAACGCTTGGCCCAGTTGAGGTTCACTCCAAACCTCAGTCTATGCAAGTGCTCGAATAGATTTCCGTTTGGGATGTACTCATACACAAGAATCGGGACCTCCGTCTCAACACAGCACCCGAATAGTTTCACCAGATTAGGGTGACTGGTCTGCGACAAAATAGAAATCTCATTCATGAGCTGTTTCTTGCCGCTTTTACTGGCAGAGTTGGACACTTTGATGGCAACATGAACCATGCCGTTTCTCAATGTGCCCTTATACACCGTGCCAAAGCCGCCGAGGCCAAGAACAAGGTGCTCTCCAAAATTTTCAGTTGCTTTTTCAAGCTCTTTCAAGGAGAAGACAGTAACTGCTGCATTCCCATGAGTGATATTAGATATAACTTCCTGGAGATCCGTATTGGACACCCGCTTCCTAAGAGTTGTGTTCTGCACTATTCTTCGATTTCGCATGCAGTAGCATACAAGGATTCCTCCAATTACAATTAGCAAAACACAGATGACGGCTGCAAAAACACCGAACAATTGTTAGAGATGGACTAGCCTGCATTCAACTGGTCCAAATTGGTGAGAAGGGACTCTCAAAAGGTTCTGTGCTCGAACCTGCTATTGTTGTAGTGTTGTTACTGCTACTTTTGGTCGATGCCTCATCAGGACCCGGGCCAGGACTCAAATCTGCAAGTTGTCTTCGAGCCCTGGAGCTGTGAACAACCACTGCAAAACTTTGACCTAATTGGCAATGTGAAACTCCGCTGGCCGTTTTTCTTCCACATCCTAAATAATGTACGACTGATTCTGTCAAAGTAACCTGTTTGGAGGAAACCGCGAGTTAACAGTGAAAAGCATGACCTGTTTTGATGATGCCTTCAATACACGGACGGAGTTCAAACACAATTTTGCACTACTCAGACGTGACTAGATACGGAATTTAAATCTAACAAATAGGGTATTTCAGATTGTGGAAGACTACGTCGGACAATGGAGAGAGACCGTTATTGAGACAGTTCAGAGAAGGCGGAGGCGGAGTTCTCTCACCTTGACAGGGCTGGTGGAATTAAGATCAAACAAAAACACGCCGTTCGTAAAATCGCACCCATCGAGGGCTACCTGCGACTGAAATCGGAACAAACTGCAAGCCCCAGGAGTGAAATGGAATTCTGCATCAAAACAGTACATGAGGATGCAGCAAAATACTGACTTCCTGTTATCCCAAGTTTCGTTGTTTCTGGAACCAGCCAGGAAAATGTGTGCTTTTACATACAAACACACAAAACCAAAAATAGATAAAACCGGGGGTCTTAGAGGTATACAAAGATCAGTTTCGTACCAAGTGAGTCTTGAACGAACAGAACTTGAGAAGCAGCCCAATCGGCATAATCACGAACAAGTCCTGTTGCGGAGTCAATACTTGTCCAGCCTTGTTCCCCTCCTACCCTCACCGACTTTGCCTGCGCCTGGCTGCTTGAAAATTGCAAGCTAAGCACAATAATTAACTGGTTCAACGTAACTCGTACACAACGAGCGGCTGTAAATTTCATGGCACCCATGGCGGAGCTATTTCGTCTCTGCGCACGATTCCCCCAAGGGCGCGGTAAGTTTGCTAGTTCGACATTTTAAACCTGCCGAATCTTGCGGACATATGCCGGGAGAGAGGCATGAATCCCAAATTGTTTCAAAAAAGAAACACCGTGAGAGGATCAAATGATATTTGAATGCGACTGTTCACAGCTGACTGTTGAGCGCAACACTTCTGAAGACTACCTTTTGTGAGGAATACTGCAGATGAGGCTTTCCAAAAGGGCGATTAGGGTGCATTGGCATGACCAGCGGAATCACAACCCGAAAGAGCCAAACAACATTCACATCCCTGACAATTTTCCACTAGATTCGATCAGATCTCGTCTCACCTCCTCGCATGTAATCAGAGCTCGCACAAGGAGATGGCGAGGAGCTCCACCGACCCAACCCAGTCTCGTTGCAGCGGCGCAAGAACCTCTTCACATCCATCAACCCATGGCACCTATCCTAGAAGCAGACAACGATAGTCGACATTCTAGCTTCAAGCTAGTGCACGCCACGGGCGATAAACCTCCCATTGTATCCTCAAGATCAAACCACCATCAACTGCACACTACTCTATTCGTGAAACCAAGCTAATGCCGAACACTCGAGAAGGGTAATGGCTCTAGAATCTAGCAGGCTAACACTGTGTGCAGGAGAATCTTTGCGTCGCAGTCACACACGCAGTCGAAGTTTACGAAACCAAGCGATCCATCATGCGATTAGATCATCAACAGTGCTCGGAGAGCTTGAGATCAGTTCTCTCGCGCGCACCGGTGTAAACCCGGAGCCTTGAAACCCAAATGCACCTGGATGCAAAGACGCGGGACAGACACGACAGCAGGGATCTAGGGACCTGCAGCGTCACAAGTGCCAAATATGACATCTCCGCGCCTGGAAAGCAGGTCAAATTGGCGCTGGGCACGAAACCAATTATGCCAACTTTCTCTCCCAGCAATTCTTGTAACCTGTCCTGCTGCACTGTGTGGTTATAGCATCCTGGTTACCTTATTTTAGACTCGCGCGTGCATCGGCGTTTCTCGCGAGTGGACGCATGCGCCGCTCAAACCCCAAATTCATGTCTTGCTGCAGCTGGACACGTCCTGCTCCGGAATGAAGAGATGGGTTTCAGAATCCAAGCTCCACGATCATCCCTCCCTCCCCTTCTTCGCATCCATTTGTTGCATCTTGCTTCCATGCCTCATCTCTCGATCCAGATATAAAGAACTGCAACAATTGCAGCAAGTTGCGGCGAGCAGCCACAAGCTCTGGGAGGAATCGACCACAAGACTAATGTGCGGACATCCATCCTCTGCGATACCTAGTAGATGACGTTCATCTACACATCCAGTTCTTATATAAAGAACTGCAACCATTTTGATTTATTATATACTTTATAAATCGCAACCAGAATAGGGAGTGTTAAAATCATATTGCTAAAATTTGGTGGTACAAATGTATTGGCCAAAAACGAACAGTGATGGAATTTTTTTTAAATGATTCTACTTTGATGAGTGGATGAAAGTGTGTGTTCATATCATTACAATTCCATATATATATATATATATATATATAAGTTCATGAAAGTATCCGCATTTTCAGATAAATACAAAATAAAATAAAATTGGGTCTTGTTGTTAATGTACAGATTAAGAAATCAAGAGCATGTAAATATATGTGTACATACATGTATGCATCATTATTGAGTGGCTCACAAATAATTATTAAATTTATCAACAAGAACACTGTAAACTTTTATTTGTTTTAAAATTTTAAAGAAATATTTATACCTAGATTTGAAATTTAAAATAATTTTTTCTGGTTTCAAAATTGCTTAGACAATGCTTGTTTCCTGACATGTTTCTTATTATGTTTCAATAATTCTACTAAATTATTTACTGTATACAATATGGTTTAAATGTTTTAAAGGTATACGTTAATTGATTACATATTGATACATAAATTACTGTTGTACTTCTTCCGACATTTCAATATATATATATATATACGCACATACATCTACATATAATTTTGTTACTTAAATTATTTTTTTCTTTTTATAAACTTTTGGTTATGTGTTCATATATTTTTTCAGTGCATATATTTGATATTTAGTGTTTGATATGTATTAAAAGTAGGCTCTTTTTTCATTATTTCGGTATTTTTGTATTTTTTCTTTTTGTACTATATCAGATGTATATATATAAATATAAACATATTATATTATAAAATGTATATTATTACAAATTAATTATGTGTCTTGTGTCATTGACAAATGTAATTTTATTTTTTCTTTCAAAAAATATTTTAATCAAAATATTTTTGATGGTCGACCATGATAAAGGTTAATAAAAGTTAAATATATATTTTTGAAATTTAATAAAACATGTTTATATTAATTTTGATAAAATATAAGACTATTGTGAATATATAGAAACTTCTATTGTAATACAAACTTTAAATCCAAGACAAAAAATAAATAAATTACATGTATCATAAAGATTTGATACTTTATGAGGCTTAATATGTAAATAAAATAAAAAAGAGTTTATATATATATATATATATATATATATATATATATATATATATATACATACATATCTTTTAAAATAGATTAAATAAATCAATTTTAATTTTCAAATAAATATGTCATAGATATAATCAAATTTTTAATTTCTTTGATGAATTTATTTCTAAAACAAATCTATATGTTGGTATTTATTTAAGTATCATGTGTTTTTATTTTGTAAAAAACTTTAATATAATTTTAATGATTAGTTTTATTTATTAAATATAAAAATTCAAAATGAATGTAATTTTGATAATTTTGTTTAACTAATTTAATAATATGTTAGATGTCTATACTTGTAAATGTTTTAGAAAAATTATTTTTTTTATTTGTAATTTTTGTATTTTTTTCTTCTTCTACACATCAATATTATAAACCAATATTTAAATTTAAATGTTATTATTGAAATAAAATACCTATTTTTTTTTCTAATTTTCTAATTTTTAATTATTCAATAATAGATAATAATATTTTTTATACAAATTTATCACTAGTTTTTATAATTTTTTTATGTCAATCTCTTCAAAATTTATCAATATCTATATGTTATTGAAAAAAACCACTTATCAAAAAATTATTTGTACTTATGAAAGAAAAACTTCACGAGGTTAGCATTATCTAAAATAAGCTTTCAAGAGCTATGAAAGAAAAAATAATAAGATATTTTATTTTATTTTATTTTATTTTATTTTTTCTTAGATATTTTAAATAATGATGTTTTATGGTTTGAAGTAGGTATTTGTTAAAGAGTTGATATTCAAAAATAAAGAAAAAAAGCTATGTTAGAAACTTCAAAAAATATCTATTAAAATTTAAGTAATTTTTTTTATAGCTTTCAGAAGTAATAATATGACATGTTCAAAATTATACTAACAATAATAAATAAATTGGTGTATTTATGACATATTCTTACCTTTTATTTTTTTACATGGTAAGCACTTTAAAATTATATATATATATATATATATATATATATATATATATATTTTGTAGGACTTTTATACAATGATTTTTTAAATAGATTTGAAGTATAAAGACTTTCTAAAAGGTTCTAAATATTAAAAAATTAGCAAATATACATAAGAATATTATTAAATAAGATAATTATTTATTTTCAATAGTTATTATCTAATAATAGATAATATGTGTTAATATAAATATAATTTATTTTTCAAAGATTACATCATCAAATAAATTCATATATATATATATATATATATATATATATATATCAAGTAAAAAACTTCTTTATTATTGGATGTTCTTAGATTAGCCTTTTAAATTTCTATAGCAATAATACTAATTTATTCTATAAACTTTAATTGCAACCTAATATAATTTCTTTTATTCATTATTAAATTTTGACAACTAAAAACTTAACATGATAATAGCTTCTAGACAATAACAAACTTAACTTTATTTTTTACTAGCAAAAATTTGTGCCATTGGATACTATACATCCATCCATTTTCTCAATCATCAATGCTCCCTTCTCTCTATGTTCTCTAGTTTCTATATTTTTGCATTTCTATGTTCCATGTATTCCTTACATTTTCCAAGTTGTATGAGTTCTCTTCTTCTCAGCCAATCAAAAGACATATTTGTCTTTTTGTGTTATATCTAAATTTTCTTATGTAATAATTACATACTCTATTTAATGATAACACTTTGAAAATAGCCAAATAGTTTTCAACCCAATATATTTATAATCATTCTTGGCTTATTATTTTAGTATATTATTATAATAGAATCATAAAATCTTTATATAAATTTTCTTTAAATCTTTTTATTTTTAAAAATTATCTAAAATATTACAAATTTGTATTCTAAAATTTATGAAAATGTCATCAATTTTTATATATATATATATATATATATATATATATATATATTTTCAATTACTATTGTAAAAATATCAAATTTTATTTAAGATTCTTTCACTTATAGTTTAAAATTTTGTCATTTTTTCTATTTAAATCTTTGCTTTCATCTTACAAATTTTATTGCTAATGTTGTTTATACCTCACCAACCTTTATGATTTAATTGCAATGTGAAGTAGAAGATACTATCACAATACAACTATCTTAAGGCCACCAACTACCTTTCTATTGCAATCACAAACATGGGATTTACTAGTAATGATGAGAAAATTCAAAATGTAGGGCAAAACAATGTTAATAGAATGTCTAACTCCTATTAGACATAAAGTAGAATGGGCACTTGACATTGCTTTGCTGGTTGAGAAGTTGTAGCTGCCATTTATTGGTAGTGATATCATTTAGCTGCTGTAGCCTATCAAGCTGTCATATTGCCTAACAAGATGAGTGTCCATATGTTAATTGGACATTGTTGACGAGGCTAGTAATTTTTATTTTCACACTAGAATGTCTATGTAGTTAGACCATAGACTTAAACTATATAAAGAGTAGAAGTAGAGGTTTATATTAAGCATTTATCATCTTAAATCCTTGATAGTAAGGTAGAAAATTCTTTTATATTTACTTCATAAAACTTCTATCTTAGCAATATATTTTTATTTATTTATTTATTTTTTAGTTTATATGGTATGAGAGCCTTACTATTCTAGATTTATCCTTTGATAGGTTTGAGTGAATCAATTGAGGTCATTTTGCAGGACTTGATCTTTCGATTAACTTTGAAAAGGTTTTTTTTTGCATTAGCTGAAGAGGAGTTGAACCTTTAGTGAGCCTAAAACTCAAGCCACTAATGTTTTAGGTACCTCATAATTGAAGCAACAAGGCATTAATTTTGAAAGAAAAAGAACATTTTCAAATTTCAGTATTACAAGTAATAAGTAGTGGAGCTTACAATTATTGATTTGATTAGACCAATAATGGGACCCATTGGTAGCAGAAAGATCTAGCACTGGAAGTGGAGCTAGTATGGTTGAAAGAACTCCAATAAGACCAGAGAGCTCCAAATTTGATTTTTTTTTTCAAGTTTTTGGACATAATTTTACGTAAAAAGCTCTAGAAATCACAATTTTTGAAATTTTGAATTGATTTTTTTAAAAATACTAGTGATATAATTTCACATATTATAAAATTATTTTAATTTTTTTTAGGAATTCTTTAATATTTTTTATTAATATTCAAAAAATCTATAAGTAAATATGAAATCTTATCTAGATTTCATTTCTATTCACATTCTATTTCTTCCTCCATTTTTCTAATTTCTTCTATTTAGGATGTATTTCTTGTAAGATGGTAATGAAATACAATATTATAAAGAAATTTGATAAAGACAATTGACACTTTTGGAAGAAAAAAAATCTGATTTGTTCTTATTGACAAGGATTTATAGAAAGTTGTCTGTTGAAAATACAAGAAGCCTAATAGAACACCCATAAATCTAGAAGAATGAAAAAAATGGCAAAATATAAATCAGAGGGTATTAATTGTAATTTGCCTATATCTTACAAGTATAGAATTTTTGACCATGAGTAAGGCAAAAAGTGCACAGGCAACATGACAAGGTCTAGAAGCAACATATGAAGTAAAAAATACTTTGAACCTTTTATACTTGATTTGCAGGTTTTGGATCATAAAAATGTAGTGAAGATGACAACATTGAATGCATATAGGTAAGCTATAAGAGATGACTAAACAACTTTTTCCTATTGATAAAAAGGTTTTTGATACACACTTTATAATGGCATTACTAGAGAATCTCTCGATATCATATGGAACATTGGTAG